TTGAAAATTACTATCGCCTATTATCAGACAGTGTAGCTCTTTGAGCAGAGGAGTAACATGATCAAATTTTGTTATCAGATTCTGAATGATTCTTTATTTCATGCATGCTAGTCCGAAACCTGGGTATAAAGTGGCGTAGGTAGGTTGGAATAAATGATGATCCAGTTACATGGAATCTTAAACCTAGTGTGAGTGGAATGGTTCATGTTGACATCAAGCGGATCTCTCGAGGTCAAGAGCACAGTAGATTTCATTTTGGCAAAAAGACAAAGCTACAGATGCTTTAAAATGGTCAGAACGTTTTATAACAAAGAATCAGTTAAGCAGCATAAGCTTCTGGTATGGGATTTTATAATAAGTCAAAAAGGAAAGACAAAATTGATTACAGAGCCCAGAATTAAAACTTGGAAATTGAGAAAACCGGAAATCATTGCATTTAAATTAAATCACATGATTGATAGCAAAGGCGTCATTTATTTAGACCCAGGGGGGAGAGAAATTATGGAGAGAGTTGTGGAAAAACTGTTAAATGAAGAAAATTACTGTGATGAGTATGTCGAGGCAAATATAAATGTAGCAGAGGTTGAGCTTATAAAAAAACACAAGGTTTAGTGTGTGCTAAGAAAAATTAAGACGGTAAGGCTGTATGGGATTCTAAAGTGGTAACAAAAATGTTGAAGGCATAAGGTGATTGGGGAATTGAAAGACTGACTGATTTGTGCAATATAGCATTTATGGAAAAAAAAATCCAAGAAGATTGGAAGAAAAGTATAATTTAGGTAATAAAGGTAAGGGGGACCCTTTAAACTGTAGCTTTTATAGAGCAATCAAGCTATAAAGGGGATGGAAAGAATTTTGGAGCGAAGAATTAGACCAGGTTAGTATTGGCAAAATGCAGTATAGTTTTTTTCCGGAGAAAAGTACTATTGATGATCTTTTTATTGTTTAACAAGTTAAAGAAAAGATCAGAGCTAAGAAGAAAACTCTTTATTATGTTTTTGTAGATCTGTCAAAAGCTTATGATAAGGTACAAAAGTTTTGTGAAACTGAGAGGATTTGGATACCCTTGGACGTGGTAAATTCCCCTGTGTGGTCTGCGGTGAAGGAGTCAGAGGAAATCCCATACTATGTGTAAAAATTAGTAAACGGACATTTTAAGTTGTTTGAAGACGAGGATCGTTTGCTAGTTGTCTAGTGATTATTTTATTTTCTTCCCTGAACTTTTTCATTTCAGCAATTATTTCTACGTTGTTACTATCGATCCTGTCCAAAATCTGCTGATCAAAGATATGCCTAATCACGCATCACAAAAAAATTTAATATTGCCGATTATCTTGACGGCGTCGTAATTCTCTTCATACAGAGAAGGGAGAGGCCATGGAAACAAGGAAAACTTTAATTTTGATATACTTGCATATATCAATCTTCGTTTAGGCGTCCAGAGACCCAGTTCCCTCAAGGTTGGATGTATATACTTACACATACACACACACACACACACACACGCACGCACTTGTAACTAAGTTTTTCAATTTTTCCAACAATTATTTTATCGATATTATTCAATTTTTTCAAATTAATAATAAATTTTTTAATTATTTTAGACTGCATTTTTCATATGGAAATTTATGGAAATTTATTTACATACATGAACGCTTTTTTCGGTAACCTTTACCATCCTCAGTGTATTAGAGTTTGTGATATTGTTATATGTAGTATATCTGGTATTTATAGTATTTTTAACAAAGGAACTTTAAATTCCATTGTTTCTTTGTGTGAGTAATTTCTTTGTTGGTATGGTTGCTACTGCCTGTTGTTGGATGTTTATTACAGGGTTTCTATTTTCTATTAATAAAGCCTCTGCCATTCTCAAATTGCTTATATTATGGTTGTAAAATAACACTTTGGTATTTGAGTTTAATATTTCCCCTGTTGTTTTTATTTTGTGTGAATCCATTAGATGATTTTTTATTGCACCATTTTGTGTATGCATTGTTAACCTTCTTGACAAAGTCGTAGTAGTAAATCCGATATAATCTGTGTTTCGGTGTCTACAATCACCGATTTTACAATCAAAAGAATATACTAGATGACTGCTCTTCATTATCGATTCAGGTTTATTATTGTCATTATTTTTAAGAACAAGGGATGAAGTTTTGTTGTTTGTGTAATAAATCCTAAGTTTTCATTTATAGTTTTATCGAAAAAAGCTTTATGTAAATGTACACATAAAAATGCAGTCTAAAATAAATAGACATCTTATTATTAATTTGAATAAATTGAATAATATTGATAAAAAAAATTGAAAAACTTAGTTACAAACTCAACAATGCGGAAAATGTGGTGATATTTTTTAATAACTGTATATACGACAGTCTGAACCCGAATATATATATATATATATATATATATATATATATATATATATATATATATATACATATATATCAATCAATCTTCGTTTTGCGTCCAGAGACCCGGTTTCCCGAGGTAGGACGTTGTTCTCTTTGCCATCAACTTTTTGCGCCAAATTAGACGATCAGTTGTATCCATTTCATTTAAATTTAGAGCTTTCATGTCTTGCTTGATTGTTTGCGACCAGGACTTCTTTGGACGGCCTTTGGGACGTGTGCCAGGTACTTCAACATCTGCAAGAGAAGTTATGGCACTGTTTCCACTTCGTTTGACATGACCAAACCACCGCAGACGGTGTTGCCGGCATTCGTCCTTTATATCATAAAAACCAGCACGACGCAAGATTTCGGTAGATTTGATGTGGTCCTTCAGACTAATTCGTTGCATCCATCGGAGCATTTTCATGTCGGTTCGTTAAAGTTGTTGTTCCAGTTTGGTTGTCATTGGCCATGTTTCTGCACCATATAACAACACCGGACGTATCACAGATTTATAAAGACTTGATCTTAATTGTAGTGGGATGTCACGCCGCATCGATATAGAGGCAAGGAGATGCCATTTATTCCAGGCTGCACGTATGCGTGCTCGAACGGCAGCTTCAGCTGTTCCAGTACAATCCAGAACATCCCCTAGATATTGAAACGATGTGACTTTCTCTACCTTAATGGCTTCAAAAACAGTGCTATTTCGAATTTGTTGTTGAGGATTGATGCAAGCAGGACAAACACAATTGGACACTTTAGATAAAGTACCAATTATTTTTGAACAACGTTTGTGACACCACTGGTTACACTGTTGAAACTTGATTGAATTGTTACCAAAACCAGCTTTACAAACAGAACAGGGCCATCGTCCAGTAGCTTTGGATTGTATGGGTTCACCAGTGTTCATTGCTTTAGTTTTGCTGATGTTTACTTTGAATCCATGATCGGCGAGTCTGGTGTTCCAATCTTCAAACATCTGTGCTGCATTCTGCTCAGACGTGGCTGTTAAAACGATATCATCAGCATATACTAGATTCCAAATGTCACCAGTGCGTATCGGTTTTGTGATTTCTTCCATCACAGTTATAAATAACAGTGGACTGAGAATCGAGCCTTGGTGAACTCCAACGCCGATGTCAAATGCATCTGTGTTTCCAACCGTTGTGTTGACAAGAGTCTTAGTATTCGTATACATTTCCATCATGAATGGAATGAGTTGTCGACGTAGACTCCATCTGATTGCTTCACGGGGAACTCGATCAAATACTTTTTCAAGGTCTACAAAAATGTGTGATAGTTGTTGATGCTTTGCGAGATACTTCTCTTGCAGTAGCCGAAGGATGTGAATTGCATCAATTGTTGATTTCCCCGCTAGGAAACCAAATTGATAATTTCCGATTGTGATGCACGACGTTAATCTTCTTTCAATGATTTTCTCGACAATTTTCAGGGAGTGTTCTAACAGACGTATACCCCGATATGATGAACAGTTCAATGGATCACCTTTTCCTTTGTATAGCGGGACTGTCATGCTATAGTTCCATTCAGTCGGCATTGAGCAATTTCTCCAGATTTCACGGCAAAGTTGTAGTAACGTTTGGATACCTGCAGTACCAGATGCTTTGATAATGTCATTTGTGAGTCCAGAGGGCCCTGCTGCTTTTCCATCCTTCGAAGCTTTCAGAGCTTCTGTAAGCTCCTCTATAGTGATGTCTGGAATCGGACCTTCGATGGGTCAAAGTTAACATTGATGGGATTTGTTTTGTTTAACAGACGGTTGAAGTATTCTCTCCACTGTAGCTTGATCTCATCTTGTTGAAGAACCATCTAATTTTTGTCATTTTTGATACATGAGGCACCAACTTGTCTTTTTTCGTACGCTTTGCTTGTTTTGCTATACGATACAGAGATTTCATTTGTTCACCTTTGCTTTTAGTGAGCCACTCTCTGCACTGATCTGTCCGAGCCAGTGCAACTTGACGTCTTGCATAGTTGTTCTTCTCACGGAAAATTTTATGGTCATCAACAGACTTTGATTTTTGCCATTGCTTGTATGCAACTTTCTTTTCAGCTATTGCATTTTAAACACTGTCATTCCACCACCAAGTGTCACGTTCATGCTGACGTTTTGTACCAGTTTTCCCACAAACTGTAGTTGCAGCGTTTATCAAAACTGTTTTGTATGTACTCCAATCTGTACTGGCTTGCGATTGGTGGTCTAACTATGTGGCGACAATCTGACCACTTCAGGCCTGCTGGAGACTAGGGGCCGTTGTTTTTCTTTGTGATGGCATAAGAGTAATTTGGGGAAAGTTTTTACATCCGGACACCCATCCTGACGACAACCACCAGTTATAAGCGATGGGCCTACCCTTTTGCTCAAAAGCTCGCAAGGCAGCATGGATGCAGTTTTATGTCATGCCCAGGACAAATATATACTATACATATATATATATATATATATATATATATATATATATATATATATATTGAAAATTGAAATTTAAAACTGTATGTTTGTATGTATATATATCTCATTCAAATGAAATATAAATCATAATTTTTAAGCTGGAAGGTGACATTACGTCTTTAAATAACAAAATGAAATGTCTAGAGGCGGACTACGAAATGTTGAGCTCAAAATTGGCTGAAACGACTCACAAATTTGAAGAAACGGTAAAAAGTGCAGATGAATCTGAGAAGTGAGCTCCATTTTTTTAATTAAATTAAATTATATCTAATTATTACAAATTTTTTTTTCTGACTTTAAGACAGCGCAGAATTTTAGATCACAAAAAGGATATTGAGGATGAAAGATTGGCAACTTTAGAAAAATTTATTCGAGAAACTTCTGATGCAGCTGTTGAATCAGAAAAAAAATGCGATGAGGTAAGAAATTTTAAATAAATCTTTTTAATTGTACCATTTAAAATTGAAAAATGATGCAATTTATTATGCGACTAAAGATTACAAAATAGTAAGTGGATGTTTAAATGGTGCAGATGTGTCAAATGTCTAAATGTTTGTGACTTAATCATTAAATGTATGAGACTTTATAAATGAAATGTTGTTAAGTTATTATTGCCTATGAACAGATCTAAAGCCTAGTAAACTCTTGTAGACATGTTGCGCAATTCGTTCATGAACCGTTATCAGCAGTGACCTTGACAGTGTCCGTCACAATACGTTGTTCATTGTCCCATCTTACATCTACACTACTATGGGAATTTCCCTTGCCCTTTTTGTAGTTCATCACAGAAAGTACAATAGAATACAATAAAATTTTGGAACACCATTTAAAATATTATATTTTTTCATTTTAGAAATATAAGTTAATTTTAAAATTTTATTTCTTTTTGAATAAGCTTTAATTATGAAAAATTAAAATAAATTAAAGTTGACAATAAACGTGAAATCTACTCGAGAACTAAAAGTGTCTAATTATAAATTATTCATCGTATAATAGAAGTTAATAACGGTAATTAATAGGAGTTAATTAGAACCACTAATTAATATCATAGAAATCTCAGAAATATGCATAGTAGCCATTTCCAGGTTGTTCTGTTGCGCCATTAGTAATAATTTTTTCAATCAAGCCTCTCATCATATTGAGCAGACCAGTGATTATACCTAAGTTGTATCTAAAAAAAATTATTGTATGTGAATAGAAAATGGCGAGAAAATGAAAAAGTTACAAATTACGTTTTCAAGATTTTTCGCGGAAAATGTACGCCAATGTTAAATCACTCTCCAAAAATAGCGCTCATGTTCGACTGCGTTAGGTAAACATTAGGTAAACGTTATTGCGCTCGTATGCCGCTTCATACAACTTGTCTACAGAACCCTGAAAGAAGCGGAGAGGTTTGAATTCTTATTGTCTTTTTCAGTGGTAGGATGGTTATTAGTGCAGCGTAAACAAATTTTGATTTGCATCAACTTAGCCAGATAAACCAGATAAAATTGATGTTTAACTTGGAATGAAATTCATTTACGTATTTTACTTTACTACACTGCATGTTTTTATAAATAATGCACATAATACAAAATTCAATCGTTTGTAATGATTCAGATTATAAAAAAGTTGGCTGTCACGGATTCTGATTCTGAGTTGGCACATCAACGATATGACATAGCGGAAAAGTAATCTAAATATTTTTAATCTTCCATCCTACATTAATATTAATAGTATTTGTAAATTATTAATTGAAGGAAATCAAAAGAATTACAAGCAGAAATCAAATCTATTGCCAGCAAGTTGAAAGCCATGCAATCAAAGCTTGAAAATGTTGTTAATGTTTTCTACTAATTTTCTGACTGCAATGCATACTCTAATTTTTTTTGTACAGGCTGATGAACTGGAAGATAAATATGAAAGGACTATTGATGATTTGCGAGCAAGACTCAGAAATGTTAGTAGCTGTTGATGTTAACTATTCCATTTGTTATTAGTTTTCATATTATCTAATTGTTAGCACCCCATTAAAATTAATTTTTAAAGATATAGAGTTGTCATTAACTGTTCAATTGATGGTCTCCTCTTAATGAAAAAGTTATCATGTATGGTAGTCTTGTGTGTAAGATCATTTTGAATGGTCATGGTCACATGTAAAGGATGTGACCATATGCATTTGAACTTGTGCTTGCTTTAAGTTTCAACAAAACAAGAAAATAAAATTTTGAAAATTATAAGTTAATAGAAAGATTGCATAAAATAAAAATAAAACATTAAGCGAATTTTTATGAAGTTTTGAGTTTGAAGTTAGAGATGGGAAACTTTGGACCACCCACCAGGCCACGTACATTTTACATCTAAAAAATTTTGTTGCATCTTTTTACGTTTTAATTTCAAAATTCAATCAGTACTTCAGAAAAATTCGAGCAGATATTGTATTTTACCTTTGCCATTTTTTTACTATTTTTACTTTATTTATTTATTTAAAAATATTAAAATTTTAAAAAAAGCTTATTTAAAAACTTTGTTCTTAAATTACTTTTAATATTTTAGTCTACATGCTTTTTTGAACTGACATTTTTGGCTTGAATAGAAATTTGTCCTAAAAAAGGTCGGTGCTATTTAGGTGCTAACAAATTGCTTGATGATGTGTTTGAAAACTCGAGCAGAAGTGTGGATTGTTGGTATTGATTTTTTGTTGGAATATATCCCAGTCACTCAGTGACTTTGGTGCCAGCAACTTGGCTGTAAAACTTATGTCATCTGGCGATGCATGGAGACAAAATATTAATTTGATATTTAGCCGTGAAGATAGGTTTTCCATTGAAATGAATTGTTGTACAAATTTTCAGAGTTTTCAATAATCTGTTCGTTTGAGGTTAATTAAGAATTAGTTTTATTTCATTTCCATTGAAATGAATTGTTGTACAAATTTTCAGAGTTTTCAATAATCTGTTCGTTTGAGGTTAATTAAGAATTAGTTTTATGAATGCTAAATATTTTTGAAATTTTTTTTAATTTTTACTACATTTTTAACTATTATTTTTATTTTTCTTGATTTGGCCCAAGCAATGTTTAAGATTCACTTTTATTTTAAAGTTGGTACCAGACTGGTACCAGACGTAGTTTTAAACTTTCAAAATCTATCTGGAGATGGATTTTTCAAATAAATTGTAAATGGTATTTTTTTCTTTTCTAGTAATTTTTTAATTTTTTCAGTAAACGATGGTTTGGCTATAGGTACATCTAACATTCAAACACTTTACTCCAACGTGAAGATTGCAAACACTAATTCAGCTTATGCAGGCGATTTGCTGAAAAAGAAAATTCATTTCTGCCGAATTTTTCATATCGTTGTTTTTTATTTGTCTTTTCAAATCAGAGTGTCGGAGTTGGAATATTTTAAGGGCCCAGAGTATCCGACTCTGGAAAATGTTTATTAATTAAAAAAAATTTTTCTGAAATTTTTTTGGAATTGTGTTTTTAAAGAATAAATATATGTAGCGATAAGCAATCATCTTTAATACTGAAAATAAATGCTATTAATGTGAATAAAATTGCATAAAAAAAAACAATTTCATTGACTGATTTTGTGTTTTTTAAATTATTTTTTATTTAGTAGTGATAAAAAGGTGAAATTATGATGTAAAACTTTTTCTAGAATTTGTAACCCGCGGTCGAGTCGGAAAATTTTACAAGGCTCGTTGTTACTTGGCCTTGCTAGCCAACATTTTTAACCTTTCCTTGTTTGCCAGTTTTTCTTTATGGGCATTCTTATTTTCTATTTGTGCTCTCGCCTCAACATTTTCTCTAGCCTTTTTTTCTGCAAGATAAAGAGCCTTTGCAAGATTTGAGAATTTTTCGCTCACGTGTGTTTGCTGCAAACCCCTGCCACCTGTGTGTATCCTTTTACATATTTCCAGTTTGAAACACACGGTGGAATTTTCCATTCCTGATATTGCTTAACAGTGACTTTTTTGTGTGGAGAGTGAAGGACTGATGCGGGGGTGAGGATGGACCACAGGTGGATTGTTCTAAATCTTTAGATTCCATTGGGTCTTTTTGCGCGTCAACCATTTTGATGACACTCTCAGTGGCGTTCCTAGGGCCTTTGAGGCCCGGGGCGGAAATATTTGTGATGCCTTTCATAAATAAATAATATGTATTACATATACATAGATATTATATGGTGGATGTAATGATTATCTGCTTGGTCGTTGAAGTCAGTGTCATCGAGTTCGAAAGCATACCATGCTGTTCATCCCAAAGACCATCATATGGTCGCTTATTTGATGCAATGGCAAAAAGAAATGGTAACATATGTCTATACCTCTGCCAAGAAGTTCATCGACAAAAACTAACCACAGTCCATATTTTGTGGAAATTGATGGTCGCCGATGTCCAGAAAAGGATAAGGCACTTATTCATTTTTTCATTTTTTAATTGGCTGATGATGCAGAAAATAAATGAAAAATGTTTTTATATTTTATGTTTTACAAAAATGCAATATACATAGATACAAAACATTTACACATGTCAGTACACATATGCCACAAAATTTTGATTCAGCTAATCGAAAAATATATTAAAACTGTTTTTTACGAGATTTTGCATCAGAAAATATTTGTATTGTTTCATCAAAGTTAATATTTCTCGCCACTGTGTTTTCAATTGATAGGATTGCTAAGCCATTAAGTCTTGCTTGACTCATTGTCGAACGAAGATAACTTTTAATCAGCTTCAATTTTGAAAAGCTTCTTTCGCAAGAAGAAATTGAAACGCACACTGTCAAAAAAATCTTTAAAGCTAAATATAAGTTTGGAACTGACTCGTGTAAATCAATTTCTATTATATAGGTTAGCATTTTCTGTGCAGACCATTTTTTAACATCATCTTTCTCAATTTTCCCTGCTTGAAGATGACGTCTTAATCGTTTAATTTCGGGTATTATTTCATTTTCTTCTAGTTCATCAAACGTTTCTGTCAGATTTGGTATCAGCTATGAAAGTTCTTCTATCTCCATTCCAATGAGATGTGATGATTGAATGGCTGCAAATTTTACATATACATTTTGCATTGATTCTATCCTTTTTCTAAGATCTTGATAAAAATTATCAAGTGACTGAAACATTGATCGTCTCAATTCCTGTTTTAACGTTAAAGCTTCATCTTTACTTTCTTCTCCAGGCATAAGCTGTCTTTGACTTTTTTGACCCAATTTTTCTGTAGCTATTCCCATTTCTTTACAAATTTTTGTAGAAAATATCAATGCATTTTCAACCAATTCATCGCGACTCTCATGCAGAAAAAGTTTTAAGGTATCTAATTTTTCAATGGTTTTACCTAAACCAATTCCTTCTGTTTGCAAATATTTTTAAGTATGATTGACTTCCTCAAGAGTACTGCTCCAGAAATGAAGATAAGCAAGAAATTTGAAATCTTGAATATTTTTCATTAAAATTTGAGCTGAACCTCTCGTATCTACATTTTCTGATGGATCACATAATTTTTCTAAAGCCTGTACCAACTTGCTGAAATGATTCATTACAGGTTTCACCACATGATATTGCTCACTCCACCTGGTTCCGGCTAGCCTTTTTGCAGTGATCCCGACTATTTCTGACAATATATCCCATCTATGAGTTGATGAAGAAAAGAAGTTGTAAATGCTTTCAATTGTTCCAAAAAACGTTACACAAGTTGGATTGCTTCCAAATGCGTGAACCCCGCTCAAGTTAAGTGAATGATTAGAACAAGGTACAAATACAATTTTCTGATTTATTTGATGGATCCTGGCTTGTACCCCAGAATGAACACCTGACATTACCGAAGCATTGTCATAACCTTGGCTTCGACATAAGTTTATGTCCAAACTCTCTTCATCAATAATATTTACAATTCTGTGTGTGATATCAATAGCCTTCTTTCTGGCAAGAGGAAAAAATCCTAAAAATGTTTCTCTTACCTCTACATTTTTGTTTTTTATATGAACATATCTAATAATCTCACTTGATTGGTCTTGGTGAGATATATCAGGTGTTGAATCAAACATTATCCCGTAATACTTTGCTTGCTTTACATCATCAATAATTTTCTGTTTCACAGTATCTCCCAATATAGAAATAAATTCATTCTGAATTTTAAGGGAAAGATATGAAATCGTGTTTCTTGCCTTGCTATGTTGGACCCTCACTAAATGTTCTTTTAAGACAGGGTCGTAGTGTGAAATTAATTCAACTAGTTCTAAGAAATTGCCTTTGTTGTTAGAAAAGTCATTTTCTCTGTGGCCTCGAAAAGGTAAATTTTGTTTTGCTAGAAACATGGTGACATCCAATAAGCGGTGTAAAATGTCATTCCATTTTTTAGTTTCCAGTTCTCGATTTTCTTGATGAACGGCATCAATGGTTTTATTAAGATTCAAACTTAGTTCTAATGTTTTCCATTTTTCATGATTGTTTAAGTGAATTTCAGAATTTTCGTGATGTGAAATCTTAGGGTTTAGTTTCCACCAATTATTAAACCCTGTAACAAATTTTGAAAAATTATTACTTTCTTTATCACAAGCAGCAAAAAGTCGACAACAAAAGCAAAATAAACATTTTTTGGAAGGAGAATAAACCATCCACTTTCTGAGAACTTTTTCACCATTTGGAAGATGCTTGTAGAACCAATGCTTTGTCAACTGTCGAGTTTGACCCTTTGTTTGCTTCCCTACTCTTTGAACCACTCTAAATGGACCACTTTTGTTCTGGAAATATTCACTCTTTAGTTTTACTATACTGATTCTGATGTTATCTGATAACGGAATTGTCCAATTTCCCACATCACAATTTAAAAAAATATCATTTTCACTAGAAAAATTGATTTCATCCTCGCATTGTTGGTTTGACGTTTCAGTTTCGGT